ACAAACCCTCAGCCAACATTATACTTAATGGTGAAAAACTAAATACCTTCCCTCTAAGATCAGGAACAAGGCAAGGCTGTCCACTATCACCACTCTTATCAATATAACATTGGAGGTCCTAGCGAGTGCAATCAGACAAGAGAAAGATATAAAAGGCATCCAAATAGGAAACGAAGAAGTCAAATTGTCACTATTTGCAGATGACGATTCTCTATATAGAAAACCTTAAAGACTCCACAAGAACACCACTAGAAACAATAAGAGAATACAGTAAAGTTTCTGGGCACAAAAACAACAATCAAAAATCCAAAGTGTTCCTATGCTCTAATAATGAAGTGTCAGAAAAAGAAGTGGAAATAAGAATTCCTTTTGAAATTGCAATGAAAAGAATAAAATACCTAGAAATAAATTTAATGAAACATCCGAAGGACCTATACAATGAAAACTATAAAACCATATTAAAAGAAATCGAAGAAGATACAAAGAAATGGAAAGATATTCCATGTTCTTGGATGGAAGAATCAACACAGTTAAAAGGACCTTATTTTATTATCTAACGCATTATACAGATTTAATGCAATCTCCATCAAAATCCCATCAGCATTTTTAAAGAAATAGAACAAAAAATTATCAGATTTGTATGAAAGCACAAAGGACACTGAATTGCCAAAGCCATCCTGAGAAAAAAGAATGAGGCTGGAGGCATTACTCTGCCTGACTTCAAATTATACTACAAAGCGACAGTCATCAAAACGGCATAGTATTGGCAGAAAAAGAGATACAGGGAACATTGGAGCAGAATTGAGAGTCCAGAAGTAAACCAGTATTTATATGGGCAAATAATTTTCTACAAAGATGCCAAAAACATATGGTAGAGAAAGGAAAGCCTCTTCAATAAATGGTGCTGGGAAAACTGGAAAGTCACCTACAAAAGATTAAACTAGACTGTTGTCTATCACCACACACCAAAATTAACTCAAAATGGATTAAGTACCTGAAATATAAGACCTGAAACAATAAAATGCATAAAAAAAAAAACCATAGGAACTGAATTCAAGAACCATGAACTTAAAGAGGATTTTATAAATTTGACCTCAAAAGAAAAGGAAGTAAAAGCTAAAATAAATGAATGGGACTACATTAAACTAAAAAGCTTCTGCTCAGCAAAAGAAATCGTCAACAAGCTAAAGAGACAGTCATCCACAAGGGAATATATATTTGCAAGCTACACTTCCGATAAGGGCCTAATATCCAAAATACACAAAGAATTCATACAACTCAATAACAATAAAAAAGCAAACAATCCAATCAAAAAATGGGCAGAGGACCTGAACAGACACTTCTCCCTAGAGGACATACAAATGGCCAACAAATATATGAAAAGATGCTCAACATCGCTAGCTATTAAAGAAATCCAAATCAAAGCCACAATAAGATACCATCTCATACCTATTAGAATAGCTATAATCACCAGGACAAGTAATAACAAATGCTGGAGAAGACATGACAAAAAAGGAACCCTCATACACTGCTGGTGGGACTGCAAATTGGTACAGCCACTATGGAAAACAGTATGGAGGTTCCTCAAAAAACTAAGAATTGATCTACCATATGATCCGGCAATCCCTCTACTTGTTATTTACCCCAAAGACTTGAAAACTCATATCCGAAAAGATATTTGCACACCAACGTTCATAGCAGCATTATTCACAGTGGCCAGGATATGGAAGCAACCGAAGTGTCCTACAATAGATGATTGGCTAAAGCAGCGGTGCATATATACAATGGAATATTACTCAGCTGTAAGAAGAGGTAAAATACTGCCGTTTGAGACAACATGGATGGACCTTGAGATAATCATGCTAAGCAAAATAAGCCAAACTGGCAAAGTAGAAAATCACACGATATCACTTATATGTGGGATATAAATCTAAAAGCAACAAACGAATAGGACAGAGACTCATGGACATGGACTATAGACTAGTGTTTACCAGAGGGTAGAGAGTGGGAGAGGAGGGGAGAGATAGATGGGGTAAAAGGGGTCAAATATATGGTAGCTGAATGAAACTGGACTTTGGGTAGTAAACATACAATAGAATATACAGATGTTAAATTATAATGTACACCTGAAGATTATGTAATTGTGTTAACCAATGTTACCCCAATAAACTTATTTTAAGTATAAATAAATAAATAACTCCCCCAACAAAAAGTTAGTGAGAAAGTCTCAAACACTTAGAATTAAAACCAAACTATGAAATAATACATGAATCAAAGTCTCAACATACTATAAAATACACTGAACTGAATAAAAATGAAAATATAACATATCAAAATTGATGGGATTCAGTTATAGCAGTGGTTAGAGGAATATTTATAGCATTGGATGTTTATATTATGAAAAAAGAAAATCTCAATTCAATAATTTAAGCTTTCATCAAAAGAATGTAGAAAAAAAGAGAGAAATAAACCTAAAGCAAACAATAGAAAGGAAATAATAAAGATTAGAATAGAAATCAATTAAATTAAAAGCAGAACACAATAGAGATCTAAAAAAAAAAAAAATTCTTTTTAAAAAATCAATAAAATAATAAACCTCTAGCAAAATTTTCAAAAAGACAGAAGATAAAAATTACCAATATGAGAAATGAAAGTTGAAATGTCACTACGGACCCCACAGAAATCAGCAGTTTAATTAGGGTATACTACAAACGACTTTCTACACATAAATTCTACAGCATAGATGAAATAGGCCACTTCCTTGATAACCACTAGATATGAAAATTCACTCAAAATGAAACAGACAATTGGACTAGACTTAAAAGTATTAATGGAATAGAATTTGTAACTAAAAATCTTCTTAAAAAAAATCCAGACTGTGATGGTTTTACTGGTGAATTCTACAAAAGAAGAAATGATACCATATCTACATAATCTCTTCCAAAAAATAGAAGAGGAAATTCTTTCCAACATTTTATGAGGCCAGTATACCCTGATACTCAAACGAGACAAAGGTACAAAAAAATAACTACAGATAATGTCATCACAGAGATGCAAAAATCCTCAACAAAACATTAGTATATAATTGAGGAATATTTAAAAGAGTCACTAATTGGAGTTTATCACAGGATACAGGGCTGTTTCAGTATTTGAAAATCAATCAGTGTAATCAACCATATTAATAGTCTAATAAAAAATTGTCACATGCTTTTTCTGCATTGATTGATATGAAAATGATAATTTGAATTATTATGATAACAAGTTTAACACAATTAATTTGTCATAATAGCATGCACAATAAAAATTCTTAGCAAACTAGGAATAAAAGGGAAATTCCTCTGCCTAATAAAGAGTATCTATACAAAACAACTAGCAACATTATTATTGGTGAAAAACTGAATGCTTTCCCCCTAAAATTGGGAACAAGATAAAGACGTTCAACCTCCCCACTACTATTCACGACTTTATCATACTGGTCATCCTAGCCACTGCAATGATATAAGAAAGGAAAGGAGTACAGACAGATTGGAAAGCAAGAAATAAAACCCTATTCCCAGATATATGTATGATTTTCTACATAGAAAATCTCAATAAATATACCAAAAAAAAAAAAAAAAAAAAAAAAAAAACCTACTGGATCTAATAAGTGAGCTCAATAAGGCTGCAAGATACAAGGTCAACACAGACAAATTAATTATATATGCTAGCAATGTACAAGTGGAAACCAAAATTAATAAGACAATATCATTTTTAAAAGTACAAAAATATAATACTTAGGTATACATCTAACAAAAATGTGTAAGATCTATGAACTAAAAACTACTAAACACTGAAGAAAAGAAATCAAAAAGTCTAAGTAAATGGAGAGATATACTGTGTTTATAGATTAGAAGACTCAACATAAGATGTCAGTTGAACAGACACTTCACTGAATAGGATATAAGAATAGTAAATAAGCACATGAAAAGATATTCAACATCATCAGCTTATAAGAAAGACAAATTAAAACCACCATGAGCTCCAATCTCACATCAATTTGAATTGCTTAAAAAAAAAAAAAAATACTAACAAAACTAAGTGCTGATGAAGATTTGAGTCAACTGTATCACTTATACATTGTTGATGGAAATTGAAAATGGTACAGCCACTCTGGAAAACTGTTTAGCAGTTTCTTATAAGGTTAATTATCTACTTACTATATGACCCAGGAATTGTCCTCAGTACTTACCCTAAAGAAATGGATACCTACGTTCACACATAAACCTTTACACAAATGTTTATAGCAGCTCTATTTGTAATTGACCAAATCTGAAAACTACCCTATGTTCTTAAATGTGGAGAAATAAACTGTGGCACATCCACAGGAAGGAATACTACAAAGTAGTAAAATGAAACAGATATCAACATGCAACAACTTGAGTGAAACTCAGAGGTTTTATGTTGAGAAAGGAAGCCATTCTCAAAAGGTTACATACTGCATGACTCCATTTATGTGATATTTGGAAAAGTCAAACCTATTTGGACAGAGACTAGATCATGGTTACCAGGGCTTAAGGTGTGGGGAGGGTGTGATTATAAGGGAATAGGAGGAGGGAGTGTTTGGGGTGTTGGAACTGTCCTTTATCCTGATTTTGGTGATGGTTATACAAATCTGTGCATGTACTAAAATTCATATAACTGTATATCCCCAAAAAGTCAATTTTATTCTATGATAACTTAAAAAGTAACATTATTAAAAAAAAAAAATAAGACTATTTTCTAAGTGATTAACCCACCACTGAATTGCAGCCATGTCCAGAATCTTAATCCTCAAAATAATCACTCACTATTCATGTCATGGATACATGTTCAGAAAAAAAAAAAAGAAAAGAAAAAAGACTTACATAGATAATGAATGTATTTAGTGAGAAAAAATATACTAGGAATATAAAATATAATTGTTATTTGTTTTGTTTCATTGTTATTTTCACTGTCTTTTTTTTTTTTTTTTTTGTAAACAGATTCATTTTGGAATTCAGCTTCCTTCAATACTGAGACTTCATACCTTCATTTTCCTACGTTCCAAGGAGAGCTTAGCGGTGACGTGTCTTTTTTTTTTAAGACAACAGCTTCTTCTGGGGTGTTTGTAGAAAACCTGGGGATCACAGACTTCATCAGGCTAGAGCTGCGCGGTGAGTCACCCACTCTAGACAAAGCCACCAGGCGCTCAGCAGTCACCCGTTTAGTAACCTACTTCCTCGTATATCACCATGCTTCCTTTGTCAGTTATATTTCTTTACTAAATACTAACATTTTATGATTTCAAATAACTGTTTTTAAGAGAGAGTAAAACAATGATTCAGGGAACACACAACAGTCTATAATTTTGTGCTGCTTTAACTCTATATGTATTCAGGACATTAAACCAAACTGGTTAAATAACTGCTTACTAAATTACAAAATTATTTGACATAATTGACTAGTCACATTATTTATTCGTGTTTACAAAGCCCAGTTCCTTACTATCAAAAATTCACTTAGTGCTTTTAAACCACCTTTAAATAAACTCATTTATGTGTATGAAGCCAGATAACATGTTAGTTTTCATTCTGTAGGTAAGTGTATCTCTGCTACTTAGGGCTTAGCAAGATCAATAATAAATTCTGAGAAAGAATATGTTAAAATCAGCTTTATTTTTCTTCTTCAAGGATACGGATTTACTTTGCCCTCCTAGCCAACTCAGAGTGACATATGCATCACTGTTATGGTCTGTTTTCATAAGGAATGAGTCATGATGCTTTTCTCATGTCTACTCAAGACTAAATTTTCTCCCCTGTGAATTAATTTGAACAACTCTTATATTTCCAGATTCTGCAGAAGTGACCTTTTCCTTCGATGTGGGGAACGGGCCTTGTGAGGTCACGGTGCAGTCTCTTACTCCCTTTAATGACAATCGGTGGCACCACGTGCGGGCAGAGAGGAACATTAAAGAGGCATCACTTCAAGTGGATCAGCTCCCTAGCAAGACCCAGCCTGCCCCTACTGATGGGCATATTCGCTTACAGCTCAACAGTCAGCTCTTTGTAGGTGAGTGCTGTTGGCCTATAACCAAGCTGTAGAGTGTAAAGATGGACCAAGAGAAAATCATAACTATAAAAGCAGTGATAATAGCAAGTGCAAACAACTACAACTATTGGCACCATGTATCAAGAGCTCATTTAATATTTAGTATTTCTTTTCCTAGATTATTGTACCCAATTTACAGATAAAATAATGGAGGCTCAAAGAGATCAGTGACTTGACCACAGAAACCCAACTAGAAGAGAAATTCAATCTTGTGTTAACAGACTGCCAGGCTTGCACTCAATATCGCTAGTGATTTGTTTGTTTCAGTTACTTTTTATCAATATTATTTACAAACCAATTAGCAATTTTTTGTCATTTTTCCCATTTCACTTCTCAGTGCAGTTGAAAAAACTGCCTTGTAATTGGGTCAGAATTTTCCAGTGTCCCCTCAAAAACATACTCTAGGAGATCAGGTCAGCAGAGGCAGCCTCCTGTGTCTGTGCATAGCAAAACTCTCACCAGCCCGGTGCCTGGCTCCTCTTGGTCCAGCCCCATCTCTGCTGCTCTCTCATTGCAAATGCCATGTTCAGAATTGGGGCTGACTCTTTATTCTTGCCGTCCATTCTTTAAAGATTAAAGCTCTGGGTAATGGAAATCTTCCCTTTAAGGTACTTGCTTATTTTTTATTGTTTGTTTTTCCCAAAGGGAGAAGCAAATTTTGGTAGATTTTGGACAACTCTATTCTAATCTTGGAAACTAAGATTAATGAAGTAGCTCTCATTTGGTCATTTCTCATATATTTTAAAGTAAGTAAGGACACTGTCCAATTAAAAACTGATATAAATCACAAATTAAGACAGTTTGCTTTGCCTGAGGATATCTACAGCACCCATAAAACTCAGCTTCAAGCACAGTTAATTCTTACTGAGTCAAGTCTTCACTTAAAGTCATCGAACTGCAGATCGAATAAAAATTATTTTATTGTCTGATACATTATCCCGAGGATTAATTACTATAATTTCTAGGCACAAAGTTCTCATGAAAATATATCTAGAATTAGCATTCCCTCCAGGATAATGTTTCTAAAGCCTGAAGAGCTAGATGAAAATTTAGATTTGGAGTACTATCCCAGGCCCACTGACTCAGAGTCCTTGGGGATAAGCCCCAAATCTGTTTTTAACTTGTACTCTAGATGACTCTTGTACTTCTATATTTGAGATTACGCTCCATGAGACACGATAGAAATAGTGAGAAGTACGTATTATTCAATTAATGTCACATCACCTGACCTCAGAGCCGACAGGATGGAGTTAGGAAGCCCTGAGGTCCTAGATTTTGGTTTCAATCCTTTTGCCTTTCTCTTTCTTTGCTCCCTCCTCAATTCCTTTTTACAGCTTCATTCTTGAGAGCTCTTCTAAGAATTTGTATTATCTATATTGTAAATATACATAATACAATTTTATATTGCAAAGACTTTCAATTATGTAACCCATATCATACACACCATTATTTTTGGATTTAAACTTTAAAAAGGATTGATATTCTTTATTTCATTCTTTATAATGGTATGAATGTAAAAACTGTAAAAATCTTTCTAAATATAACGAAATATTTTTAGAATAAATATTTACAAAGTTCAACTTAAGAAATATTTTGTTAATGTTTATTCAAGGCCGTTTGATGATTCTTTAACATTTGATCACAGCCTATATTTTCAAAATTCTATTTATTCATAAAATTTTCAACAGATCACTTTTTTTGATATTTTCTGTATGGCCTCCATTTGGCGTGGAGAGGAAATTCCAAGTAAGAGACCAGGAACGCATTTGTATTTGTGTTTCCCTTGTAGGTGGGACGGCAACCAGACAGAGAGGCTTCCTGGGATGCATTCGGGCCCTGAAACTGAACGGGATGGCCCTGGATCTGGAAGAAAGAGCCACGGTGACGCCAGGAGTGGAGCCTGGGTGCCCAGGACACTGCAGCAGCTATGGACACTTGTGTCTCAATGGAGGGAGCTGTAGAGAAAAACGCAGAGGCATTGCTTGCGACTGTGCCTTCTCTGCCTACGACGGGCCATTCTGCGAGAATGGTGAGTGTTAGTGAGCAGCCTGTACATGCAAAAGAAAGGAGACTTGAAGACTATGAAGATCGATTCGGTAAAGAAAGGATAAGGTGATTCTCCATGATCAGCTAAAAGAGAATCGTTTGTCTCAATCCCTCTTTCTAACTTAGGAGGAGGTATTCTTGAGAAGTCAGTGACTACTTCTGTCAGATATAAAGTCAGTCTTCTCTGCATTTCTCAGAGGACCTCAGCACAATGAATACCCTGAGGAGAGCAACACTTTTAACTATACATTTACACTGGACGTTTCATTTTATGTAAATGGAGTGGCAATAATAAAATATTGTTGCTCAGTCCTGGGTTATGGAAGTATGGGGGGATTATTTATATTTTTATTCACACTTTTTTTAATCTTAAAATTTGTAAATAAAAAAAGCAAAGCATGGCATGTTTTCTCTCTTGAGATATTTAAGGATTAGAGGTATTCTTTAAATATACATACAGCAAGTACACTTGTACTTACATACTGCTAACGTAACAAAAATGGGTGTCATTCCAGAAATTTCTGCATATTTTAGAAGTGGCTCATCCGTTATCTACAATTTTCAAGAACTTTCCAATTACACTTTCAGTAAGAACTCCAGCTCCTTTGCAGTTTTACTTCATGAGGATCTGACACTGACCGGAGAAATAGCCACAGTGAGCTTCCAGACCACAAAGACTCCCAGCTTATTGCTCTACGTGAGTTCATTTCAGGAGGAGTACCTGTCCATCATCCTTGCCCCCAATGGTGAGTGTCCTTACTGTAAGAACAAGAAGACTGAATTCAAAAGGTAGGACCATAATGTCATTTGCTAAACTACAAACAAGGAAACACAAGGGCATGTCCTGTAGCTCTCCTGTTAATCGGGTAGGTTTATTTTTCATTATAACTCCAAATTTTACCTCTAAAGCTAACGTTTCAATGATTCAATTAAGATGCTTTTATGAGAGAAAACTCTCATAAAAGGTTGATCATTTTATATACTTGATGTGCAACTGTGCTTCTTGTTATTGCTGAGAGGTCTTTTCTTCTGTACATGAATAAATTAGTCTTGCGGTTCATTTGGAAATAAGATATTTCATTTTATACATGGAAAATATTTTCTCTTCCTAAGTGAAATAAAGAGGTACATTAAACCATATAAAAGCCAGTTTCCATATGCATTAGATGAATATGATTGCTCCTTACCCATGAGTGGTTGAAAAGTCGTTAATATTATTATATCTACATAATACAAGGAAAAATGGAAAGAGAGTTACCCAACCCTTGACCACTTGGACTTTCTAAGCCATTCCCAATTGCAGAACAAAACCAAGCTTTAAACTTGCTTGGTGGAGAGTGAAGGGAGAAATTTAACTTCTGGAAAAGCTTTCTACAGTCTCTGACTGACAGGCTCTATTATGGGCAGTACCAAAGTTGTGGGTTAGAGAGCGCATCTGTGAGGAGGAGCACCATGTAGATCGGGAGATTTGGATTTGTAGCAAAATCACTCATTTTTCTCTTTTCTTTGTTTCTTGATTATGGTAGAACATTAGGAAAAAAATTCTGGTTGTGCAAAAAATTAATTATGCAAATATCAACGATACATTAAAATGCATTGAAATGTCACTTTAAAAGAAGTTATGCTTATAGAAACTAAATGTTAACGCAATTTTGCTTGAGGTTTTAGCATTTAATAACATGAATACCACATGAATAATTAACAGCCTCACTCGGAGTTTCTATATGCTTAACTTAGACTTTTTCCTTTAGTTAAGGAAATGGAAAAACTTTGAAAACGACCATTGGGTCTTGACTTTTAAAACAGTGTAATTAGATCCTGAATTTGGTCCCTACCAGAAGAGCATATAGATAGTCACTATTCTAGGAAAAATGACAATTGGTACACTCAAATAAATGGTCAATAGATTCAACTTGCATTAAATAGATAAAATAAAATGTGTATTAGAACTTACATTGATAGTTTTTATGAAATTCTATTTTAGTTAAAAATGTTATTTTCTCTTCTTTAGGAAGTTTGCAGATTAGGTATAAGCTAGACAGACACCAAGAACCTGATGTTTTTAACTTTGGTGTTAAAAGCTTGGCTGATGGGCAGCTTCATCAGGTGAAGATTAACAGAGAAGCAGCAGTGGTCTCCGTAGAGGTAAGGGCATAAATTCAGCAACTGCCACAGGAATCAGAACTGTGGCACTCAGAGTATAAGACCTAAAGCAAAAATTTGATAATCCTAATAAAAGAGATATACATTCCTAATAAAAGAGATATACATTCAGTATTGTCTTGCTAGGACAGAAAATGTAGTCAAGGTGTTTTGTTTAACAATGTTTGTTTAGCAAGAGAGTGTCAAAGTTATTATTAATATTTGACCATTTAAAATACCAAGCTGTCTTCATTGGTATTGGTAGGGAAATGCTGTCTAGCTTATCTTAGTGATAATTCCCAATGGATTACAAAAGAACAAATGTTACGGAAATTTAAATACAAGGGAATAAAGTGGGAATACATTTAAAAAAACATCAGAGCACTTAAATTATGCATTGTCACTGGCTTTTGAGGAATAACCTTTATATATTGAATCTGTATGAATAATACATTTTTCTGCTCATGCTACAAATTTCCTTTTGAAATAAGTAAAAGCTTTAAAGTTTAAAATAACTTATTCCATTTCTTTGTGGATTGTACCAATAATGGATACTTAAACCATGAAGAAAATAGAGGGGAAAGGATAGACAATGAGGTGGAATGGAATTTGAGGTATTATAAAAAATATTTATAAAACAGTTTTCTCCTTTAACCTTTATGATAGCAAGAACATATCTTTATCATTTTTTTTGGTCTGTCTTTGATTTCCATCCCCTTATCATCTGTTTGCTTCTCTTGGAACATTTACTAGGTTAACAAGAATGCAAGGAAACAAGTCATCCTATCGTCAGGGACAGAATTCAATGCTGTCAAATCCCTTACATTGGGGGCGATTTTAGGTAAGTGGC